GCGAAGGCAAAGTTCTATGAAAATCTCTTAATAAAACAGATAAACAACAAATAAAGTTTTACGATAAGAGTTAAAAATAGCATCACTTAGGGCGCCTAATTAACCACAGGAAGCCCAACAGAAGATCAAGTATGGCCTGATTAAAAGTGGTTAGAACGTCTCAAAACACAAAAATTCTCGAGATGAACACAAGGTTAATGTTTAGTTAAGTTTATGCTTGCTCTTGGGTATGAAACAACATAAAGCGATCTATTTTGTTGACGTGTTTATCAACTTGTTGGTTTCACACCTGTTGAAAATATGAATATTTCGGTAACTTTGGTCGGTTCTAGCGAAGCATAAACACATTTACCCAACGATATTTTTACATAGATCGAAAGAACTCTTCCTTGACATTTTATCCTGCAAAGATMATTTGATTTGATCATATCGGTCTTTGTCAAATCGACGGCTATTTTGATAGTAGTTTTAACCGATCAAAAACAGGTGTCATTTATAAAAATTTGCCAGAAATTTTAGATGTAAACCACAAGTTTAAAACTCGCCCAAATGAAAGAAAATGGGTGATATTTTTATCTTATAAATGTTTTAAGCATGAAACATTGATGCATTAACCAAACGAGGCCATCAGTTTATCGCCATTTCATAGCTCGAAAATTAGCATATTTACATCGTTCCACGAAAATTCAATTTACTCATAAATGAAACGTTATTTTCAAAAACCAAATACATGGTTGTTTATCTTATATAATAGGGTACCTAAGTTCAGAGTATGAGCGAAATCGATTTTTCAAGAGTTGGCACGATTTTTTGAAAATGTTTGATTCTTACCGGCATCCACTCTTAAATATTAAGAACCTATTTTAAGAACCTTGGTAGCTTGAATCTACATAAGAACCTACTTCGGCCTAATTGAACATTTTGGGTCCTTATACTATAGTGGGGTTTTACTGTAAAATATACTTCTACAGAATGTCAATCTAGTGCTTCTTAAGAATTTACAGTAAAATCCCATCTATTATAGTTTGGTAGCAAAATATGGAAAACCCCAATGATAAGAACCCACAGAAAAATTTAGCTTTAGCAGGGTGTTATTTTAGACTGACAGGTTCTTAGTATCATGTCAAGTATTTTTACTAAAAAAATGCAATGAAGTATGGAGCTTAAACAATTTATTATTAAGTTCATGGTGAGCTCTTACCATCCATTTTCTTTTTTACACAGGTTTCCCTGTTACAGTAGATCAACTCAAGGAAGTGGCAGAATTTTCAGGAGTACTTGAAGTTGAAGACAACTTCCTTGATCCTGAGTTTCGATTGAAATGCAATGAACTTGTTCCTAACGTTGAAGAAATTGAACCAAAGGATTGCCGAAAGGCATACCTTCATCTAAAGAAAAACTTCCCAGTGACATACATGTAGATGTTATTTCTCTCTTGATTTACACAATTTGCATCACAAATTTTAGCATAGTACAGAATGTATATAATTATGATATCCAACCACCATTTATTCCGTTTCGAATGCTCTTTTAATCATAATTAAATATATAATACTATGTATTACCATAACTCTCTACTCAATAGATACATGTACGTGTAGATAAATATAATATCAATATAAGATTCCTTCAAAAGTTATGTCTTTTTATGTTCACTATAAACCTACCAAATGGGCATCAATATTTATAGCTTGACTGAACCAAAGACAAAAAAAAAAAACAATAAAACAATTATTATAGAGATAATAAGAGCAAAAAACAAACAATTCAAATGGGTTTAGAATCAACTTAGCAACTATTACTATAGGTTTCAAAACTTCTACTAACAAAACCACTTATTAATAATAATTTCATGTTTTTAACTTCATGTATCACCTGACAACTGTTTATGATTCAATGGGACTGGTAGATTGTGCAAAGAAAAAGGATGAAATACAAATCGCCTTTTTAAAAAAAAGGTAAATACTTTCAGCTTAGCTTTCATGCTTTTACTGTGTGCACTCTACTAAATACCTCAGTGTAAACAGCCAATAATAATAATAATTGAATGTTATACACAGTAGAAGGAATCACTTTGTCTAGAAAAAAAATTATGTATGTAAAACGTCTTATTTTATATCAAATGCAGTCAATAAACTATTGGACTGTACTGCTGTTCACTTTTTTCACTGTTTAAGTCCTAAAAACTGGCAGTACTCATTGCATTTCTTATGGCTATCAAAAAAGTTATCGATTGCCTTATATGAAAGGTTTCCCGCAGTAAAGAGGATCTCCCCGTCCTTCTCTAATTTATTTGAGGCAATTTCTGGGTCAGAGAGCCTGTACCCATTGCCCTGCATGTCCACGATCATTAGTTCTTTGGTAGATTTCTCGTATGAGAAGTGGGCCAGGTTTTCGCACTTCTGCCTTATGACTGAGTCATAGCCACATGGAATGCCATCATTGTTGATGTATTTGCTGAAATCTCCGTCTATCAACTCTTCGACTGTCACCCACTGGAGGTCTTCTGGCTCATTGTCCAGTCTCATGTATATCATGTTGTATTGTAGGGTTTGGCCATACAAATCAAGTACTGCTTCACTTTTCAGTGCTTTCTCCAAACTTAGGCAAATATTTCTGGCAAGCATGTGCATTTGCACAACTTTCCTTGTGTGCTGCTCAACTTCTTGCCCAAGCTCCTTAATGACTTGTATAGATTTCAAAAAATATTTTTTGACAACCCATGTCTTTCCTTTAAATCCTGGGGTTGTGGAAGTTGCCTTGTAAGCCATCCTGAATGCTCCAGTACCAAAGGGCTCCTTTTCGATAGCAAACTTAACTGAAACTGGTTTGTTAAACCATTTCATGTCCGTGACATTGAACGTGTCTAGTTCAACCAGTTCATATTTGTCATGTACGACCTTCCCAAGTTTCAACATGTCTAGCACTGAAAGGCTTTTCGGATAATGAGAAACTTGAGGTTTCTGTGATGGGGCGACTTCAGTATTCTCTGATACAGCGACTTTACGTTTCTTCGATGATTTTTGTTGTTTTGGCTTTGAACTCTCGGCTACTCGACTTTCTATGAACCGCACGTGGATAACTTTGGTGGGATGCGGCACTTGGTCCATTGAATTGCAGGAAGGGCCTTGCTCTCCCGCGAGGACGTCGCATGCCATATCTTTCAGCCCTTCTTCGTTGACGCTCCCAAAATGCTGGAGACAAGCTTCTTTGATGTTATCGATATTTAAATCATCATATTCGTACGGGACAAACTCTCGAGGCCCCATTCGTGAATACTTTTGCGCCGATCCTGACACCTCAGCACTCAAACGCTGCACTGTCAATCTCTCTACCAACGCTTCCTTTCCCCGTTTACCAGTTCTTTTTTCCTTCATCGACGTTTCAAACTTTTTCCACGCAGCCTTGTTGGCCATTTTAAGATACCAAAACAACAAGAGAAAAGCTGTAATCGTTAAAACTACTAGTTCAGATAGCGCGTCAGTCAATTAGTCCCGTTGTCACAATAAAAGGTGCGAAGTTTGTATTCAGCGCGCGCGGGTTTTTGCGCAGTCTTACGTCACACGGAAACACGGTTAATTGAGGCTCAGGAAGCCCGGTACCTTGAAAGGCTCATTTTCGGGGTTTTCAAATTTTCATTTTATAACCCAAAATTAGTGAAAAATAAGTTTTTTGATCAAGTTGTTTCATATTGTTCAAAAACAATCTACTCTTTTTATGAACTACGTGAAAATAATGCAATTTTTGCAATTTTTGAATAGAATGTCACAATGTCACCATGTACCACATGGTGCAACATCTCTGTAGAGCTGAGGAAAATGATGAAAATTTCAATGAATGACTATAACATTATAACATTATTATTTAATAGGTGACTATAACATTAGGAGGTGGCAGTGATGACTAGTATACTGTAACTAAAATTTCACTTTTCATTTTTTAAAAAAAAGGCATTTGGCTCCTTTGTTTGGACAGAGTTTAGTCAGCAAATACATTTTGTAATGGTTTCAATGCTTGAAGAAATTTATTGAGATGTCAAAACTCAATTGGGGACACTATGGAAGCCTATAGAAATGCTAAGATAGAACTTTAAAAATGCTTATAAAAAATTATACTAAATGTAAGCTAAATCAGTAAATACTATGAAGACAAAATAAAGCCGCCAATGGCAACACAACTCGAAGATTGATTGTGCAGACGAATATAGAAAGATATAATGATGAATCAAATTATAATTACTTAACGAATAGAATTTTAAATAAACGATTTATGAATATAGTTTTATAATTTAACTTCGGTTCTGGATAAACACAAGCGAGCGCCGGTGAGATGAATAGCACTCGAGCTACAACTATGAGTAAAAAATGCTGCCACGACCAGAAGCGCTACATCTGGATCCGAAAAACAAATAAAATCACCGCAAGTGTCAAAAAACAATAACAACTCAATCCCTGAGAAAACTTGGAGTTCAATTATTAAGCAAACAATATACATTTCAATGCTGGTGGGCGAAAAAAATTGAGTTTGCCTAATAAAAATGATTCGCAAGGAAAACCAGAATACCAGAGCAAAGGTGAAGCAAATCGACGAATACTAGTGATCACATGACCGCGTGGGCTTCCAACATAAAGAGCTTAAAGTTACATTATGGCTTCATTTCTCCACATTCATTACTGATGAAATTACCAAAAAACTAGTTTGACTTTTGTTTTAGCCACAAATATGCAAAATGTGCGATCTTTGGGTAAATGCGCTACATCTGGCAGCGAAAGACGCAAAAAATCACCGCAAGTGTCAAAAACCAATAATAACAATCGATGTCGCTAGTCCAATTAAATCAAACAATATAAACTTTAACAAACAGCCAAATAGATATTTACTTAAATTGGATCATCAAAGAATTTGTGGTTTAACCGTATCAACGATTACAATTGATACGGTCAATAGACAAAAGATGTTTCATTGAAAGTTTAGTGTGGTTTTAGTGTGTCAAAAAACAATTTTGTTTAAAAAGCAATATCACATGTTAGCACCATGAAACAGTCAAATAGTATCCGCTTTAACAATTAAGGCTAAAGGGAAAATTTCTTTTAAAAAATATCTTAATCTGTCGGAGAGAGAAATTTGTGTTTTTGGTACATTTATGCTCAAACCTAGATAACAAAGAAACTGTCCAAGTAAGTCCGCAATGAAATTTTGGATTTGTATCTAGAAGCAACAGATGTGGTGTTACAGATGCCTGTAACACATGCCTTTATTATGCAAAAAAAACTTTCAAATTGAATTCAGATAGTCTTTGAATGTTGATGTATAAGGAGTGCAAGAATRTTAACTTGATTTTAGAGGATGTCAAGCAACTGTTATCCCTCCTTTGACGCACAGAACACACAAGATTTGGTTGAGGAAAACTAGTTTCGTCTTTACTAGAGCTTTTCAATTCCTCGATCTACAACTGTTGTGAATTGAAAAGGTTTAGTAAAGTCGAAACTAGTTTTCCTCAACCAAGTCTTTTGTGTTCTGTGCGTAAAAGGAGGGATATAAGTATTTTAACATCCTCTAAAATGAAATATCAAGATGAACTTTGGTTCTCGATAAGCGCGGGCCAGCACCTTCGTACAATCATTTTCAAAACGACGAATTTGGAGGATCGTCTTCTTTGCTTGCTTCAACCTTTGTGACTGAACGGTAAGACGAATCAAATTATGATTTACTTTACAAATATAATTTTAATGTGAATGATTTATGAATACAGTTTTTTTTTCACTAAAACTAATTATTTTTAACTTTGATTCTTGACAACCAGGAGCGAGCACCTGCACTTCAAAGACAAGTCTAAACCACAATTATACGCGTGGCCGAATGGAAGTGCCTTCGATTTCTAAGACCGGTCTACACGAGCAATTTTTATGTGACAACTATATGTGACATTTTTTTTGTCCGTGTTGACAGGCAGCCAGAAATTATTG